TCCCCCTTTATAGTGTCTCAAATTTAGCTCACAAACATGGATGCACCCAAAACTAAGACATTTTGCAAATCTCAGTCTAAACTATGCACCTAAATTGGAGGTTTATTATATTCAATTGGACATACTTAAAAGACAGGATTGCATATAATTGCTAATCAGATACTCCCCTTATTGACCTAACCCAGACCAAATGATCTGAATAGAAGTCTTTTCAGTCCAGTGAACTGTTCAGCATATTTAGGGATAAGATAATATACACCAAAAATTGAAAATATATATGGGGGGGTGGGGGTTAATCAGCCTGTTGATGTTTTGTATTTATCATTAAATAACAAATTAATAGGTGCAGTGTTTACTATCCTAATTAGCTCCATTGTCTTTGATATGTTTACTCACAGTAGGAAGTCTTTCAAGGTCTTGGAACAAATTTTGAAACAGAAAGTAGTTAAAGGTACAAAGGTAAACAATAATTGGGATAAATTACAACATAGTTTTACACAAGGTAGATTGAGCCAGAGCAATTTGATCTCCTTCATTGTGAAGTTTTAGATGAAGGAAATGCAGTAGATCCAATCTATCCATATTTCAGTGAGTCACTTGATACAGTCCCACATGGGAACTTATTAGTTACAAGTGGAGAAGATGGGTATTAATATGAGGAATGAAAAGTGGATAAGCAACTGTTTAAAGGGGAAATTACAACAGGTTATATTAAAATGTGAACTGTCAGGTTGAAAGGAGCATAGGTGCTAACTTTGTGAGGGAAAATGAGTGGGTGCAGAGCAAAGCACCCACTGACGCCAAATTCCCCCTCTGCTTCTCTCTCCTCATGCCTCTTATATGTCAGCAGCCCCATGCTTAGCAACTCCTTCCCACCCTCCCAGAGCTTCTGGAGCAGCGCAACCAGCTGATTCATGACATTCAAGCTTTGAGAGGGAGGGAGAGGAATGGGCATGGGCAAATGCAAGGGAAAAGCTGGGGGAAAGGTGAGGAGGGGGGTTTGGAGAAACAGGTGGAGTGGGTTTGGGTCTGGAGTAGAGGGGAGCAAGCACCCTCCATCAAGATGAGAAGTTAGCATCTATGGGAGGGAGGTTTCCTCAAAGACAAGTATTGAGACCTATCTTATGTAATATTTTTTAAATGATGTTGGCAGAAAAAGTGGGAATGTGTAATAAAAATCTGTGTACGGCACAAATTTGGGAGGTATTGCCCATATGGAAAAGAATCAGAATGTCATACAAGAAGCTCTGATGAAGGTCTTCAAAATCAGAATGGATAAAGGATAACATTTAATAGTGTGAAATGTAAGGTCATGCACTTAGGGAATAACAACAAAAAAATTTGCTATAAAATGTGGACTTATCAGTTGGATGCAACAGAAGAGAAGAAAGAAACGTGCATTTGTTGATCACAGAATCAGTATGAGCTACCAGTGATGTAGCTGTGAAAAAAAGGCTAATGGAATCCTAGGATGCATCTGTAGAGGCATTTATAATAAAAACAGAGAAGTGTTACTATTAATCAAGGCACTGGTGAGACCTCATCTGAAATACTGTGTGCAGTTCTGGTCTCAAACTGGAATTTAAACTGGAAGAGATGCAGAGAGAGGCTACTTGGATGATCCAAGGAATTGAAAATCTATCTTATGGGGGAAGGTCAAAGAGCTTGGCTTGTTTAACCTAATCAAAACAAGGCTGAGAAGTGAAATGATTGTCTCTAAACGTAACTAATTTCATGTGTGAGATTGATACATTTATGCAAGGTATGACAACAATGGCAAGATGTAATCAGTCTGTGACTGCTAGTAGCAAGTATCTCCAGTGGCAGGTGATGGGGCATTTGTTGGGGAAGGCATGGAGTTACAATAGAAAATTATTTCCCAGGTGTCTAGCTTCATGGACCTTGCCATATTTGTGTTTGGGAGGAAATTTTCTTGTGGGTCATATTATCAGAAATGTGTGTGTGTGGGAGGGGAGGGGCGGTTGTTTTTTGTTTTTGTTTTTTTCCTTTCTCTGCAGCATGGGGCATTGGGTCACTTTCAGGTTTATATTATGGTTGTCAATTAATCACAGTTAATGCCAGTGATTAACTGAAAACAAAATCAACTCATTCATATTTTGTACATATTAATGGCATACGTTTGGGTGGGAAGGGAGCCAACATCTGCAGAGACCTGATAGTGTCTGGTTAGGAGGAGTAACCCGAGCCACATCCAGAGGGTAGGAAGAGAAGAGAAGAGAAGAGAAGAGAAGAGAAGAGAAGAGAAGAGAAGAGAAGAGAAGAGAAGAGAAGAGAAGAGAAGAGACTCCCATCCCAGCTCCATCAGCAAGGTAGGGATCTTTATTCCACCATGCCTCAATGCCTCTGACTAGTCTGAGGAAGTGGGTCTGGCCCACGAAAGCTCATCATCTAATAAACCATCTTGTTAGTCTTTAAAGTGCTACATTGTCCTGCATTTTGCTTCAACTACCCCAGACTAACACGGCTACATTTCTATCACTATTGTGACTAGTCTCTCACTCTGGAGACTAGTCCCTCCTCACTGTGCTCTTGTTCCAGGGACCAATCCCCATCATGCTTTCCCCCAACACCCTCAGTCAGCTGGTATCGCATAGGGTATGTCTATACATCAAAATTAATCCAAAATAACAGCCGTTATTTCGAATTAACTTTACTAGTGTCTACACAGTCAAACAGCTATTTCAACATACATTCGAAATAGTGGAACACTTATTTCGAATTCGGTAAACCTCATTCTACGAGGAATAATGCCAAATTCAAAATAGCTAATTCGAAATAAGTGCTGTGAAGACACTTATTTCGAAATGGGGGGCCTCCAGCCTTTCCAGGGTGCCCTGGTGACCACTCCAGCCTCAAACAAGAACACTCGACTCTCTCTCCTCCCTCCCCAGAATCCTTAAAGAGGTTGACTCTGGCCACAGTGCCTGTGCCAGTTCCAAGCCTGCCAGCCCAGAGCCAGCAGTCACTGCCCCTGACCCAATGGCCCCAAAACATGAGCCAGCAAGCCACTGGCAGCCAGCCATCCACCGCTCCCCAGGAGCAGCCTGCCAGCTCCCTGGAGAAGGTAGGGTGGAGATCATGGAGCTTACTCAGGTTTGGGGGGGTGCCCCCAACATCCATGATCTCCTCACTAGATGGAGGAACGTGGCAGGATAGCTGCCAGTCTGACCACCAAAGGCCATATGCAAACCCAGGAGCAGGTTCACATGAAAATCAAGTTGGTCCAAAAAGACCCCCAACCCTGAGTCCTGAGCTTCCCCTCCCACTTCTTCCCCTTGCTTCCCCCTTCCACCTCCCTCCTCCCATGTTTCTCTCTCCCACCCTCTTTCGTCCCCTCTCCCACCTTCTTTCTCCAGTCTCACCAGTTTCATCCTCCCCCCAAGTTTTGTTAAATAAAGAGAGTTTGTGTTCATGAAAATACATGTATTTTATTTGACATCAGGAAGGGGGGTTGGGAGGGTAAGTGGAATGATGTGGGGGAGGAATGAGGGCAGACCAGGGAGGCTCTTAGTGCTCCTCAGGGAGGAAGCTCTCCCGCAGGGCCTCCTGGATACTGACAGCCCCCCGATGGACCTCCTGGATGGCAGCCTGCAGAAAGTGCAGCCAGGCACACAGCAGCGCGTTCACGAGAAGCACCAGAGTGCCCAGGGGCCACTCCGGCTCCATGTTGCAGCACGCTGTGTTGTTCCGAGTGAGAGTCACCAGAGCACACAAAGACACAAATGCTTTGCTGTCCCTCAGGGAGGTAGGCAAGCAAGCAGGGAAAGCTGAGAATCAGCTGCCCGGGCTGAGGGTCCCTTTAAGCATAAGCCTCAGATAGCAGCCACACATATAAACTCCTGACCTGATGCCCTGCTGGACATGATTCCGGCCTTCAATGCAATTCAGTGTCCACTCAGTGTGGAAGCGCTATTTCAAAATAGCAAAATGCTATTTTGAAATGCATTTTGTGTGTAGATGTGCTATTTCAAAATAAGCTATTTCGAATTAACTATTTCGAAATAAGGTATTTCGAAATAACACTGTAGTGTAGACATATCCATAGAGAACAGTGCCTGGTAACCTCAGCTCCCTGCACCGGATCTCCTCCTTGCCACAAGTGGAGTCACTAATGTAAAATCCACCTTCTCTTGCAAGCAAGGGCCTGCTCAGCTGCAAGAAGCACATCTAGCTCAGTAAAAGGAGTTTCACAGGAGTTTGAGGCTCTGCTTAAGAGACTATTAAAACCATTGTCCAGCCAGACACCATCTGAAACTTCACCATCTGAAAATCAGTGACACTTCTTCACTATAAATGATGACTGCAGCAAAAGTCAGGATGGGTGACAGGATATTTGATCTCCAAGGGGTGACTGGTAAGGGGAGACATGGGGAACCACTGGCCAAGTGACTCCTCCCAGCTTGGGGAAGGGCTAAGACAACTTCCTTCCACACCAGGCCCCATTGGCTGCTGGCCGGCACCCTGCCTCTCCCACCCATGGTATTTGGAGGCATGTGCCCTCTATGTGTCACTCCTGTGGTCCCCGATGGTAAACAAAAAATTCTGGCCAATTACTATTGATATAAATGTCATTCATAATGTTGTGTATACATTTCTATAATCAATGTCAAAAAGAAAAAGAAGGGGTAAGAATGCAGAAAATGGATTTTAAAGCCAGAGACAGGACAAATTTATTCTAGATAATTCAAAAGAATAATATCCTTAATTATTCACCGTAAATAGCTGTTGTTTCAGAAAACATTAATTAAATTATTTCTTCTTCCTGTTTATACCCTTTACCTTCTTAGGTTTCTGGGAAATTCCTATTATGATGTACCTTTGAATGCTAAGAGATTCAATTATCTAAACCCCTATATTCCAATAGGATCCCTTATTAAAACTGTAGGGTATCTGGTATTTCTAACTACCTGATTACCCAGGAGTATTGTAGCCAAAGGAATCTGGTGAAAGATTCAAAACAATTTTTTAAATATACTTACTTAAAATAAAAGAATATGCCAAGGGAAATCAAGAGTGATATAATCGAAAGACTGTGCCCAATGATGGCCAGATAGAACAAATTCACTGCGGTCTGCAATAAAGAAACAACATGTAAAAAACGCATTATGAGCAATACAAACATACCGTAGATAAAAGCACACCCCAGCAGACCTCTGTTACATAGAGAACAACTGTAAGGGTATGTCTACAATACCATCCTAGTTCGAACTAGGGTGGTAATGTAGGCAACCGGAGTTGCAAATGAAGCCCGGGATTTGAATTTTCCGTGCTTCATTTGCATCTCGCCGGGCGCCGCCATTTTTAAATGTCCGCTAGTGCGGACTCCGTGCCGCACGGCTACACGCGGCACGGACTAGGTAGTTCGGACTAGGCTTCCTAGTCCGAACTACCGTTACTCCTCGTGAAGCCTAGTGAAGCACGGAGTCCGCACTAGTGGACATTTAAAAATGGCGGCGCCCAGCTTTATGCAAATGAAGCCTGGGAAATTCAAATCCCGGGCTTCATTTGCAACTCCGGTTGCCTACATTACCACCCTAGTTTGAACTAGGGTGGTAGTGTAGACATACCCTAATGGATTAAAAAAAATGAAAAATATTATAGATCAATTGTGAGTCAGCTCTAGAAGTCACTGTAAGAGGATTCCTTCTTCGTATAGCATATAACATTAGTGGCAGTCATGTTTAATACTCATGTGTCAGGAATATCTATTAAAATGACATATTAACTACATCTTTTCTGTGTATTTAAGCAGTCCTAGTTATTTATGTTATTCTGCTAGGAACTTTCATGGCTAAAGGTTGATTAATCAAATAATGCTTCCCCTCCACAAAACAGAAATTAATGTGGTTTGGACATGTATTTATATAATCCTTTAATGTAGAACCCTGGTAGGAGTTGTGTTTATTTAGGCCCTTGAAAGAAATTTCCTTCTAAAACAGGCTACATTTGCCATGTTGAAACTTTAGCTTTCAATCAGTTTTTCAGGAAAAAGATGAAATAAGGAAAACTCAATAACAGCTAAGACTAAACTTGGGTCTTAAGGCTGTCTTCAGTAAGCTGAATTAAAGAACTTTGAAAAATTAGGCAGTGAGGAAAAACTCTGGGAAAACAAACAGTTATAAAGACCCTGGAAGGCTGTGGAGCAGCCTATCTTCTGTATATTTCCAGCCTCATTTTACAGAGAATACAGTTATGACATTTGTTCCATTTATAATCTAAATTAGAAAAATTCAGTCTCATGATTTGAGGAAAAGCTAATGAAAGAAATGTGCTCATTAAAGCTTTTAGCTGTTCTTCAGTGTGAATGATTGTTCAGTGCCCTGAGATATGCTAGAGAGACAGATTGTTATTCTCACTTGCCTTCAATATTAGTACAAGCCACTACCAGTTTCAGCTGAGGGAATATTTTCCTTTATCTGTGATGTGGCTGTATAACACAGAATAGCGTAAATATAGAATCATAGAATCCTAAGGCTTGAAGAGACCTCAGGAGGTCATCGAGTCCAGTCCCCTGCCCAAAGAAGGACCAATCCCTACTAAATCAACCCAGCCAGGGCATTCTCAAGCCGAGCCTCAAAAAATATATGGAGAATAGATGGCATTTTAACAAGCTGTTTGTTGCTATTATTGTGTATACATATGTTGTGCTTCTCTTGTAAGATATCTAATTGACATCTCCAAATGCCTATGGATAGTCCATCTTTGAGACAAACACCGTTCAGTGTGGTCTAATTGTTCCTCCAGATCCACATATACAGATGAAGACTCCCATATACAGGTCTGGCCTTGCCTGTGTGAATAATTGAGAGATATTCATTGCTTGGACCCTGTAAATGACTCTCTGTGGGAGGAAGAACAAGTGCCTTGGGCACGGAAGGAGGTAACATGTGCCTTCCAAAGCCCCATAGTTTTGTGGGGAAGATGCACAGGAGTACAGCTCCTTCTAATTTTTCAATTTTTGAACATGTTTGATGAAAAATGGAAACTTTTTTTTTTTTTGGCTAAAACTAACCAGTTCTGCTGAGGAGTTAGTCTGAGAGGTGTACTAGCTATATGCATCTGCTGGTAGTGAAATTGTTGCAATTATGACTTCTTAGAATGGGCCAAATTATTGGCATATCCTTCTGAGATCTGCATAAATCTTGGAGATTTATAGGACCTTTTTACTTCCACAGGACCAAGTCTGAAGAAATTCATAGCAAAGATTTGAAGAACATCTCTTCCAAGTTTTTGTCCCTATTTGCACACATAATTGCACTAGCTCAAGTGGACACAATAGTGTATCCATGGTAACACAGAGAGTGGAGGCAAAGCGTAGCCATTCTAAGTATTCCCATGGTTCTGTTAGGTTTGAACTTGGCATGGCAAAGCAGTGTCTACATTGCTTGTGACTACTCTTTGAACTTGTATTTATGTAGACCCCTAGCTTTTAGCAAAGTGATAGTCCAAGAGTAATTTAATGTACTTCAAGCTGATGTAAAATTGGTTAGGTCAGAATCCAGCCCTTTGAGTCTGATTAGCATGCATTCCTCTCTAGTTGCTTCTATAGCTTGCTGTCCTGTCCCTCTTTCTAAACACATTGTACAACAATCACAATTAAGAGGCAATGAAAAAATGAGTGCATTAATGACTGTCATATTTGCTGGGTTTTGAAGTTTCAAGACTGTTAAAAAGAAGCTTTCTACTCATGGTAACATGCATTCTTCTCCTACCTTTACTTTTTCATGCGTAAGGAGATTACACTGAGTGTAATTTGTCCACGTTCTGTTGCTTTCAGGGTGTCTAAACCAGTTTCCATTTTGGTCACAAATCTTTGTCGCTTTTTCTTTAGCCAGCCAAAATTGGAAAGAAAAAGCAAACCAACAAAATAATAGTCAATACTCAATGTCTGTTTCTCCATATCTAGTATTTTGTAGCTTATGAGAACTGGCAAAGGACAGAGATTTATTAGTGCAAAAAGAGAGCTTTCTTATATTAATGTGAATTTTGAGAACATGATGGCCATTGTGTTTGCTTGGCAATGGCAAGCAAAGAAAAATATCTTTATATCCTGCAATCTAGTTATTCTAAAACTACATCGTGCCAATTATTAGAAAACCAGATGGCATGTTAAGAAAATGTAAAGGTCTTATGTGACAATGAGAGATCTAAATTAAAATCTGACATTTCAGTTTCATAAATTAGATTTAGAGAGGAAAGAAAACATCACGAGAAAAATTGCTTATTATGCTGACAGTCACTGAAGGAATTTCAGTATCAGAATGCTTTCTGCCAATACTGGGCCAAACAGTAGTGAGCTAAATGCTCCCAGGCATGAAATAAAATTAGGAGACTCCAAAACACTCTGCTTGACCACATTGGCATGTTTCAATTAGGAAAATAGGTCAAGGTTGATAATTTTGGTGGGGGGAAGTAAATAACTATGAGGAGCTGAATTGAGGTAAAAATATTTTACCATATGTCTACACTAGGGAAACATTCTGGGTTAGCTAACACATGTTAATGAACCCTGAGCTTACCTCAATTTTTTATCATTTACACAGTCTCACAGGAGCATTTATCAATGTAGGAGGCACAGGAGTGAGTGTCCTGCCAGTGGATCTGTTGGATCTGGGCAAGGAGCTGGTGTCTAAACCTAGTGAGTGAGCAGTAGCTTGGGACCTTTGTTAGTATCTGGTGCTGAAGGCCTGAATCACTGATCTTTGCTTTGTGGTTAGGTCAAGAGGAAGAGTAAATCACCTGAACTACCATTTAGTTAAACAAACTGAACATACAAATTCATAGTCATTTACCTGATGGGTTAAAGTCCTGAAAGTAGTCAGGACAACGTTGTACTGATACAGATCCTGCTGCAATATCATTCCAACACAACCAACCGTCCCATGTTCTGTTGCAGTAAGAACCTACACACATGTGGACAAATCAGATGATAAAGTTTGGGTCCTGCATTCACAAAAACCTTAAAACAGTTAGATGTAAAATCTGCAAGAGAGAATTAAAACCATATAATTTCTCTATTCAGCCCAGGTCTCTTACTTGTAGCTTTAAAATCTTCAACACACGATGGAAGTATTTTATTCAAAAGCAATCTTCTGATTAAAAAACTTAAAGCAATGTTTTGGAATGAACTTTTAAAGGATAAAGTAAAATCTTAGCTAAAATGTGTTAATTAAAATTCTATCTAGTTGGATAAGAGGAAGAGAACTTTTATTTGTGCATACATTCATTTAATTAAGATGTATTTAAATTAAATCATCATAATTGTGACTACAAAGTTCAAATCTGCATATTATACATACTGCCAGGACTAGGAGTATGGCTATGCAATGTTTTACCTAGTCACAGTCCCTAGACACAAGTGGTTGAACTAATCAGTTTAAATTAAAATAATCTTTGTCAGGGTAAAGAACAAACTTGTAAAGATATTGCTTTTATTTACTCAGCAGATCTATAAGATATGCACAGAGCCATGTTTGATAAGATCCTGGAAGACAGAAATTTGCAAGAGTTACTTTTATTTTTCAACTGCATAAATATCTGCCTTGCCGATAGATGATGATTTAATCAGGAAAAAAACCTCACTCTTCTCCCACCTTCTAAGATGCATATGTTTTTTTAAAAGATTTAAACAAGTAAAGTGTATTGAACATTTTCACCAGTTCCTATAAGATGGTTGTGTCAAAAGTGGATTACTATTGAAAAGGTATAGAATATTTCTAAGACCCAGAAGTTAGAAGAAAGCAAGGATGCTCCAATATGTGAACATTTCCAATTAATTAAGTATACAATCTATTTAATATGATGAGACTTTCAATTTTCCTAGGAACATGCATCATCTGTTGTAAGGGGTAGGAGTATCTATAATAGCTATAAGAGAATAAACTTTCTTCATTTTTATCTGTGCTGGAATTTAATATTTTATTTATCAATATATATATAAATAAAGCACTAAGTCTGTAGTTGGTGATGTTCAAGGCAGCTAACATTGCAGCACCTTTCCATAACAATGTTCTTCCTCATTGCTATAACAATCATACTTGTCTTCCTGAAAGTTACAGAAATGAAATTCATGTTATTGATTTAAAAAAGCTACTAAAAAGACAAGGAAGGAGGAAGTCTTTAAAGTTCCTTAGTTATACAATTCAAATCTACAGTCTAGTTCCTATATATATTGCTTCTTTCTTTCTTGTTCTGTGTTTGTACATCACCTAATATATTAGTCCCTAATCCATTAGTTGTAAGCATTATGGTAAATAGAGTAATAAATCAGAAGATAAATCATTTACCTTCTTTACTGTGAATAGGCTCTTGCATAATTTTCTGATAGCATTCATACTGTGCTGTCATTATTTTATTCCTAGTCACACTCAATTGAATGATGTCTTCTGTCACATTCCAAGACTTCTCCTTTGGTATAGCAACGGCAAAAAACTAGGAGGAAAAGGAGATTTATATATGTATTTCTGTAGTAGCTTTAGAAAAATGTACTGTGAAAATAATGGTAACTTTATATGTATATGTATATGTATATGTATATGTATATGTATATGTATATGTATATGTATGAAGTTACCATTATTTTCACAGTACTTTTTTTCTGTATCCACTACAGTGGATCTTAGATATTAGAGCAAGACAAGAATTTCTATTTTGTATTTCCATATTTACTGAGAAGTCAAGGTCTGTGCAGTGCCTCTGCAAACTGAAAGCAGAAATACATGCTAAGAAAAATGTCAAAACTCACCATAGTAACTGATAAGAGGAGCAGCAAATGTATGATCCAATTTCTCTCCATCATTAAAGCTGATGAAATATTTCAGTTCAGCAATCAGATCAAGCTGTAATGGAGAAGTTGTAAGAAAAACAAAAGTAATTAACATTATTCAAAATCTACTGAAAACTGATTAAAACAGGTGCCACTTCTCTTTATAATTCAGTATGATCAATATATCTAGATCCCAGCTGTGACCCCATTTCCATGGCTACAACTCCTGCCACACTGGTGGAGCAGAGGGGCTGTAATCCACAGCAAATCACTAGCAGACAATTCCCATGACATAGGGAAAACCCCATGCTGATGCATCTGTGTTGATCCTGCACCTCTGCCTCCACCTTCTCCCAGCATAGGGACTGTGTTGAGGTGGGGAAGAGGGTATGGCAGAGCTGTGATACATCAGGTGTGCACTGGGAGGATCTGTAAATGTCCTGACATCAATGGTGGAATTTAGATATGCCCAATAACAGCTCCATGTGGTATCCAGGATAGAGCTGGAGCTGGCTCCGTGATGGCCACACTCTGGCTAAGCAGAGCTCTGGTTCAGGAGAGAATCTGCCCTATTACACTATAGGTCATTAAACATGCAGTAAATTCTGGCTCCATGTCAGGGTTGAAACCCATATGTTAAGTAAAGCTGCAGTTCAATTTATATGAGCATTTAACTGTCATGTTTAAAAAGGAAATTCCACTCCTTCCTTCCTTTTACTACTGCAACACAGATGGAAAAACTAATCCATAGGCACCAAGCTTAGGCTAAAGTAACAGCTTCCCAGGGATGATGGGAGTCAATGCAGAGATGAACTGTGAGCTGTTAAACAGCTTTCATATCTGCTAATAGTTGGGCAACCCCAAATATGGAAATATCTGGTCTTTGTGGAACGCCTGTAACATCTCCTCTGTAAACATAGTGATGTATTCCCATTACTCAGCAAGATAATGAATGAATAAATAATTTAATAAATTTTAAAAACCTGAGTTCTGCTCTTTGTCTGTCAGTGTAAACAGTGTGGGAACAGGATGCCACTTTACATGTAACAGATGCATTAAAAATGTATTTCTGAACACTTGTAAATTAAGTTCAGCTTTTCAAGAGGCACCTTTTTACATTGCAGTGCAGACTGCACTATGAATGAATCTTTGAACATTGAAGTACAGATCCATAAATGCCCCTAAAAAGGTACAAAATTGCTTTCAAACCACATAGACAGACATAATTGATCCTGCTATGGGAAATCCAGTGGAAACAGGTTGAAAGGACTAAATCTACAAAAAGTTCCCCCTGCAATGATTTAACTCCTTATTGTTCCATTGTAGTAGTAATCCACAGGACTGTAGAACTGAGCTTTAGGTTGTGGATAATACTACCAGAGCTTCTTTAGAACTACTTAAGCCACAAAAATCATATTCCAGGTTTAACTGATGCTGATGGAATAACACTCTTGAGAGTCAATTACTTACATGCAAAACTGTGTCCAGATTCCAGCCACATTTTCCTTTAGGTAATACTCACTCTTGCCTTGGATATTTTCCTCATCCAGCAGTCATGCTCTATAAGAGATTGATAACAATAAGCAAACGATTGAGCATAGCTTAACCAAAGGGAGTCATGGCACACAAAATCCATTGCACACAAAATATTCTTATATACATAAGGATGATGGTAAACAAGCAGCCAATCATTTATATTTTTATACAATGCTGAGTACAATGGGTCCTTGAGCACTTGGAACTATTGTAATACAAATCATTCCTAAAAATTCTTACTGTGTGGGATGTAGTCTGTGTAATGTTTAGATTTTAATGAAGTCTTAAGGGGCCAAATCAGGCCAGGTATAATTTTATTCACTTATAGTTGTGCCTGTTCACATCAGACATCACCCTTTCTTTTTCCTCTTCTGCTGTTGGTATGTAACCCTCTAGCATCTCCTGCCAGAACTTGCCCTGGTAATATACTGAGATGTGGTTCAAAGATGGCTTCTTGAGAACCGTTAGACAAACAACAGACTGATTAATATGCATGGAATGCACCTGTAGTGTAGCAATGACAATTTCTGGGGGGAAACCCATATGTGAAAAGATAACTTGGTCTGCTTGCTTACTGCTCCACCAAATAATCTACAGAATGACAAATTAATTTCTTTTTTATTAGTACAGTAGCAGCAATATTCTGTATTACACATCATGGTAAAACACGACTTCTATGGAACTGTGTTTTAATAAAATATGGACTTGTCTTGTAATGGAAAAATCTTTCACCGCAACCACATACACAAAAGAAGCACCAAAAAGCTAATTGGTAGAAATGTGGTCACCCTTGTAGGTATACTCAGTCAGAAGGCTCCCAAGCCAGAAGCTTTATCAGATTCTTTGAATATCAACCTGATCCTGAATAAGTAATAAATATGTAATCGGCAGTATTTTAACATTTTATTGCAATTTTGCCTTAAAAGAAAGTTAAAATAAATTCTTTAAAGTGTGTCCCTGCAGTGACTTTTTTCTGACTAGGAAGAAATACAGGACTGTTGAGTTAGCTTCTAACCAGACTCTTTGTAAAAGAAGCATCTAAATAGTATCTGTGTATTGAGCATATCATAATATGATCCTAATGATATGGCGAGTTTTGATCGTTAGAGTTGAAGAGCCAATTGCCTCTTAGGTTATACCTGTGTACCTCCATTTACTTCAGAGAAGTTGTACAGTGTAGATGAAGACAGAATTAGGCTATTCTGATTCAAGGTGAAAAACTATTGACATTTGTTAACATTGAACTCTATTAGCCACCCGCTAGCCACATATTTTTTAGGTAATGCCTTTGTAAGCACCTCATATCAACTCTTCCAGTGGCCATGTTCAAACTTCAGGGTCTGAATTGCTTGAGGTAGACAAGAGATTAACTCACATCTTCAATGCCGAGTGCTTCCTATCAGTGTCCCCGAAGTTGTTAATGTACACTCAAATTTATACCTAAGGAAAGAAAGTTTTTTCCTGGAGATGACTTCTTTTTGATATAATTACAAAATGTGCAGGCAAGGTTCTGGTACTATACATCTGGACTTCATTAAAGCATTTCCTATGTCATCTCATGAATTCATTAGCTCAAAGTTTATTCTATTTGGTTTGGATAGGAACACTGCTATATAGATTAAAAACTGGATAAAGGATAAATATCGGTACATAGAGTTAGGTGGCTGTTGAGATGAAATCAATGTTGAATCCTATAATCCTATTCTGTTTTAATGATCTGAAAGACATAAATGGAATTCAGAGATGATTCCAAGCTGGAAGGTGATCAAACAGAAGTAAAGAAAAAAATACTAGAGTATCTGTGGAGAGAACATTTAACTTGAGAAGGAGTCAGGTTAATACACTCAGGGGAATATAACCAAATACAAAGGTATTTGATGACAAGGAAAAACAGAAAGCATTAATGATGAAAGAAAACTATGAACAACAGCTTAAAAAATATTCCCATGGTGGAAGTCTAACTCTACAGTAAAATTGCAAACAATTAAGGATGTTCATATAGGCAGCTACTCAGCAATGTAAACTTGGCTGTTTTAGGGGGATAAGGTTTGTATTTTTTTTAAATAAATATTCTCTATTTACAGATCTAGGATAGCAACATTCCAGAGATACTTACATACTTTAAGGATATGTCTACACTACAGCACTAATTCAAACTAACTTAATTCGAATTAGTTAATTCAAAATAAGCTAATTCAAATTAGTGAATCTAGACCTAAAAACTAAAACATTTTGGTAATTCGAAATAGCATGTCCACATTTAGTAGACCCTGAACCGAAGTTAAGGCTGGCCGGAAGCAGTGCTGGTAGGGCATCAGGTTAGGACTTAGAGTGTGGAGCTGCTGCCTTAGGCTAGCCGAGGGCTGTGCTTAAAGGGACCTGACCCCCACCCCGGACAGACAGTTCTCAGGGTTCCCTGTTTGTTTGTCTAACTCGATGAGGGACAACAAAGCAGTCCTGTCTTGGAGTGCCCTGAGTGCCCACACTAGGCACATCACAGCACTCAGCCATCATCCTGGCTGCACTTGCCGCAGGCTGCCATCCGGGGAGGGGGTCAATCGGGGGGCTGTCAGGATCCAGGAGGCCCTGCAGGAGAGCTTCCACCCTGAGGAGCCCACAGAGCCACCCCAGTCCTCCCTATCGGAGGCTCGTGCCCCATTCCTCCCTCACCTCCTTCCACTTACCCCTTCCTAGCCCCCCTTTCTGATGTAAAAAATAAAGGACATGTGTGTTCAAAAATAGAAACTCTCTTTATTTAACAAAACTGGGGCGGGGGATTAACCTCTGGGGAGACTGGGAAAAGGAGGTGGGAGAGGGGAAGAGAAAGGGTGGGAGAGGGGAGGGGGAAACTTGGGAGGAGGGAGCTGGAAGGGGGAAGGCAGGAGAAGAAGGAGGAGGAGAAGTATAAAACTATGGTACTCCATTTCTTCAGTACTGTGTACAGATGTGGTCTCCTCACCTCACAAAAATATTTTGGCCTTGGAAAGGGTTCTGAAAAGGGAAACTACAATGATTAGGGGTTTGGAACAGGTCCCATATGAAGAGAGGCTAAAGAGACTGGGACTTTTCAGCTTAGAAAAGAGGAGACTGATGGGGGATATGATAGAGAAAATCATGAGATGTGTGGAGAGAGTGAATAAAGAAAAGTTCTTCATTAGTTCCCATAATATAAGGACTAGAGGACACCAAACAAAATGAATGGACAGCAGGTTTAAAATTAATAAGCGAAAGTTCTTCACACAGCACATAGTCAACCTGTGGAACTCCTTGCCACAGGAGGCTATGAAGGCTAGAATTATAACAGAGTTTAAAGAGAAGTTAGATAAATTCATGGAGGTTGGGTCCATGGAGTGCTATTAGCCAGGGGATAGGAATGGTATCCCTAGCCTCTGTTTGTGGAAGGCTGGAGATGGATGGCACGAGACAAATGGCTTGGTGATTGTCTTCGGTCCATCCCCTTCAGGGTACATGGTGCTGGCCACTGTTGGCAGACAGGCTAGTAGGCTAGATGGACCTTTGGTCTGACCCAGTATGGCCATTCTTATGTTCTTATGTTCTGAGCTCAGGGCTCAGGGTCGGGGGTCTCACTGGACCAACTTGATTTTCATGCAAACCTGATCCTGGGTTCGCATGTGGCCTTTGATGGCCAGGTTGGGAGCCATGCGGCTGTAGACGGCCGCGTTCCTGTGCCTAGTGCAGAGATCATGGATGTTGGAGGCCTCCCCCCAAACCTCGATGAGGTCCACGATCTCCGCACTAGACCAGGCGGGTGCCCACCTCTTGAGGCCGTGGGCAGGCTCATGGGAGTTGCCAGCCTGGTCCTGGGAAGAGGTGGAGGGCTGGGTGGCAGCAGGTGGCTGGCTCATGCCGTGCCAGGTTTAGGGTCTGCTGGCAGGGTGCTGGAGGCTTGCAACTGGCACAAGCACTGTAGCCAGACCGTACCCCTTTAAGGGCTCTGGGCCTGGGAAGGGGAGCAGAAGAGTTTCTCTGGTTTGGCCCAGAGTGGCCACCAGGGCAACCTGGGAAGGGCTAGCCTCCAACTAGTTCGAATTAAGTGGCTACACAGCCCTTAATTCGAACTACTTAATTCGAACTAGGCGTTACTCCTCGTAGAATGAGGTTTAACTAGTTCGAATTAAGCGCTCCGCTAGTTCGATTTAAATTCGAACTAGCGGTTTGTATGTGTAGCCCCTATTAAAGTTAATTTGAACTAACGGCTGTTAGTTCGAATTAACTTTGTAGTATAGACATACCCTTAGAGATTTGAAGGCGAATAGTCTTAAAATAAATTTAAAAGAGTTTATTCCAGGCCAGAGGGCACCATTGAGATCCTCTAGTCTAATCTAACCCAAGCTATAGAACTTCCCCCAAATAATTCCCAGAGCACATCTTTTACAAGAAAAATCCAATCTTAGCTTAAAAATTGCTAATGATGGAGAATCCTTGGTTAATGATTAATTGATTAATTACACTCACAATTACACTTATTTCTAGTCTGTATTTGTCTAGCTTCAATTTTCAACCATTGGATCATGTCAGGCCTGCCGACAAGTGGGAAACAAGGGAACAGTTGCTCCAGGGCCTGGCGATGCAAAGAAGCCGGGGCTCCTGGCCACCAACAGTGCTACTGCAGGACTGAAGTGGCGTGTCATGCTCCTGATGGCTTTAAGGACTGGGGAGAGAGTGTGCGGCATGGCAGGCTCTGGGCAATGTGGATGGTTGGCTGACCCAGGCCCTATCCCTTACAGGAGTGAGGCACGGCACTTGCCCAGGGGTTAGTGGAGCCTTTCGGCATCCCTGGATCATGTTGTAAGTTTCTCTGCTAGACAAAAGGGTCCACTGTGAAATATCTGTTCCCCATATATATACTTATAGACTGTGATCAGCCCATGTTTAAAGATCTTTTCGTCAAGTTAAATAAAAGGATCTGCAGCTGGACCTCATCTTGCATGAAGTGTTAAAGCCAGGTAACAACCCAGATGCACCACATCCCTTCATCAAGAAGGAAGACCTGAATGTATTAT